GGTGGGGGGGCTATAGCAGCAATGAGGGGGGGCAATGAGGCAACTGTAGGAGCTATGGGGGGCATAGGGAGCTATATGGGCTATGGGAACTGTGAGAGCACAGACAGATGAGAGGAGAGATAGGGGCTATGGGTGGCCATGGAAGGCTACAGTGGTGAGTTACAGGGGGAGGTTATGGAGGGGAGCATGGAGGGACTACAGAAGCTATGGGGAGCCCTGGGGCTGCTATAGGGGGCTACAGGTACCTGCTGGATCTCCTCGCCAGGGTACAGGGGGAAGGGCTCCTGGGCCAGGCGGATATCGAGGTCAGCGTGCCGCAGACGTGCCTGCCCCGCTCCATCAAGCACCACGGCTCCCGTAGGGTCCCGGATCACAGGGTTGAGTACCACGCAGTAGTGCCGGGGAGGCACCATCACCATGCGCCTCGGGGCGAACATCACCCTGCGGGTGGCCCCCACCTTGTTCCCCTCAGCCCTACAGAGCCCCCAGGGCCCTACAGAGCCCACCGCCTGTCCCCACCCCTCAAAGCCCTATAAAGCCCTATAGAGCCCCCAGAGATCTATAGAGCTCAAGTCCCCCAGTCCTATAGAGTCCTATAGCCCTTCTATGGCCCTCTACAGCCTGATGGAATCCCCATGACCCTATAGAGCCCCTATAGCCCTACAGAGCTCCCAAACAGCCCCGTGGCCCCATACAACACCAATGCTCCCCAGTGACCATAGAGTTCCCACAGCCCTAAAGAGCTGCAATGGTCCTACAGATCCTCTCAAGCCCCCTGTGGGCCTACAGAGCTCCCCAAACATCCCCCACAGCCCTACAGAGACCCCCTGTAGAGAGAGCCACAGAAATTCACCCCCTGCCCCGTAGCACCCACATTTTGTAGTCCTGCCAGACATAGGGGTGGGACCCATCGTCCTCTAGACCCCCTCCTGTCCCATAGCATCCACTTTTTTGGGTCCTGCCAGATGTAGGAACTGGATTCCCCCCCAACTTATAGGCTCCCCTCTGCCCCACAGCACCCACCTCTCGTGATCCTGCCGGATGTAAGTGTGGGGCCCAACCTCCACACGGGTGACATTGCTGTTGAGGTCCAGCACATGGACATAGTGGTAGGGGGGTATGCGGATCACAGGGTCCTCCATGGGGCAGGAGACTTCACTGTGGGGCAGGAGACCTTCCCAGGCTGTAGATCAGCTTGCTGTGGGACAGAACAGCTCACTGTGGGGTGGCAGACTTTGCCTCAAGTTGAAAAAGCTTGCCATGGGGAAGATGAGGTCGCTGTGCAGCAGAAGATTGCTGTGGGGTGGATGAGTTCACAGGGGGGAGGGGCGGCGGGCAGAAGACATCGCCATGGGGCTCATGGGTGGATAGGAGATCTGGCCACAGGGTGGAAAAGCTTTCTGTGGGGGATGAGGTCGCTGTGGGGCAGTAATAAGATTGCTGTGGGGCAGAAGACCCCCCACCATGGAGTTCATGGTGGGGCAAGAGACCTTGCCAGAAGATGGAGAAGCTTGCCATGGGGCAGATGAGGTTGCTGTGTGGCAGAAGAGATTGCTGTGGGGCAGATAAGCTCATCACAGGGCAAGCAGCGGGCAGAAGACTTCCCCACGGGGTGCATGGTGGGGTGGGAGACCTTTCGACAGGGTGGAAAAGCTGCAGATGAGCTTGCTGGGATGGGGCAGAAGACCTCACCACAGGGCCTGTGGCGGGGTAGAAAGCTTTGGCATGGGCTGGGAAAAGCTTGCCGTGGGGCGAGACCTCGCCACGAGGCAGGGGAGCTCACCGCAGGGAGGGATGCCGAGGGACCCTGCCGTCGGGGGGGGACAGGCGAGCTTGCCACGGGGCTGGG